ATGATATCATTTACGAAGATTATACATTTTTTAAACATTGTGTAAAAAAAAAAGTTTTTTTGTCAATTTGTATATTTGAGTTTAACCACTATATTTTTTGCATTATTTGTTCTGTCGTTTCTGGAGGATTAAATTGAAATTGCAACCAACTTTCTATTGCTTGTTTTAGAAATAGTGATATTTGGGAGATGATTTCCTTTTCAAATAACTGAAAGTGAGAGGTTGTAATCTGAATAAAGGGAAAAAGGCCATTCTTGAACATTGGGTGAGACAATCCTACTATTTTTCTAGAGAACCAGTTAGGATTTAAGTATAACTTTTGTATGACTGAAGCTTTTAGTGATAGGTCTAATGCTTTAATATTTAATAATTTATGCCTTCCGAATTGATATTCATTATATAAATAGGCCTGTTTAATTTTGTCTGGCTTGCCGTTCCAAATGAAATTGAATATTTTTTTCTCATATAATTTAAAAAACTGTTCGCTAGGGGTAGGCAAGACCATAAATAGGTAAACTGGGATAATACTAAAGAGTTAATCAGGGTGATTTTTCCACAAATTGACAGGTATTTACCTTTCCATGGTAGCAAGATCTTGTCTATTTTTGCTAACTTTCTATTAAAATGTATTGGAGTGAAATCATTTATTTCCTTTGGGATATGTATTCCGAGTATATCCACATCACCATCAGACCATTTTATTGGTAAACTACATGTAATGTAAATATTGTATTTTTTAGTGATCCAATACGTAATATAGTACATTTGTCATAATTTGGTTGTAATCCAGAGAGGTTAGAAAATGTATCTAGATCCTCTATGAGGCTGTGGAGGGATTCTAGTTGTGGATTAAAAAAGAAAACATGAATCATCAGCGTACAATGACACCTTTGTTTTTAAGCCCTAGATTTCTAATCCCTTGATATTATTGTTGGATCTGATCTTTAATAGCTAACATCTCAATGGCCATAATATATAGATATGCCGATAGTGGACAACCTTGTTTCACTCCTCTTGACAGTTTAACAATTTCTGAGAAATAGCTATTATTTACTATTTTACACCTAGGGTTACTATACATGATTTTGACCCATTTATAAGAGATTCTCCTAAATTTAAACGCTCCAGGCATTTATATATACACCCCAGTTGTACTTTATCAAATGCCTTTTCGAAGTCTGCTATGAATAGCAGGCCTGGTTTCCCAGATTTTCCATAGTGTTCTATTGTTTCCAGTACTTGCCTTATATTATCTCCAATGTATTTTCCATGTAAAAAACATGTCTGATTAGAATGAATAATGTCCGACAATACCTTTTTAATTCTATGCGCTGTACATTTTGCTAGAAGTTTTGCATCACAACTCTGAAGTGCAAGGGGCCTCCAATTTTTTTTAATGGACTGGATCTTTATATTTTCCACTTGTATCCTGTTTCAGTAATAATAAAATCAGACCTTCTTCTTGAGTGTCCTATAATCTACCATTTACATAGGAGTGGTTAAAACATGCTAATAACGGTCCTCTTAGTATATCAAAAAAGGTTTGGTATACCTCGACTAGTATGCCATCCAACCCTAGAGTTTTCCCGGACTTAAAGTCTTTAATTGCATCCAGAAGTTCCTCCTCTGTAATTTCACCTTCACATGAGTCAAAGCATTTCTGTGTTTGCTGAAAAGATCACCTGCTGTCTGGTCCGGGCTCGATGGAGTGGTGGAGTTATTGATACGAAAAGAATAGGAAGGCGGAGGTCACTGTGTGCTTTCTCTCCTCTCTCCTCCTCAGTTCATTTCTCTCCTCCTCAGTTCGATAACCATGCAATATTCCAGTATTGAAGCAAAGTAGAGGTTTATTTGACATCTCATTGAACTGAAAAGGACTGTTGTGTTGGACTGAAAATCTTTAATGTAAAAGTCTTACAGTCTGCTGTGTCCACACACGTAGACACGCATGCCCAGAGTTAAAGTGGTTGGAACACACACACACACACACACATGCACGCACTCGCACACACACACACACACACACACACACACACACCATGTAATTACCATTCATAGCAACCATCCTCTTAGTAGCTGGAGAGGCGTAGGTTTTGGTAAAAGGGCGGTAGGGGGAGAGTGAGGATAGAAGACGAGAGGAGAGGGGAGGGGGGGAGAGGAGAGGAGAGGAGAGGAGAGGAGAGGAGAGGAGAGGAGAGGAGAGGAGAGGAGAGGAGAGGAGAGGAGAGGAGAGGAGAGGAGAGGAGAGGAGAGGAGGAGAGGAGAGGAGAGGAGAGGAGAGGAGAGGAGAGGAGAGGAGAGGAGAGGAGAGGAGAGGAGAGGAGGGAGAGGAGAGGAGAGGAGAGGAGAGGAGAGGAGAGGAGAGGAGAGGAGAGGAGAGGAGAGGAGAGGAGAGGAGAGGAGAGGAGAGTGAAAGGAGGAGGAGAGAAGCAGGTAAGAACTCCTGGGTCACTAGATAATTATAATCTTGTGAATTCTCCCAGAATGTGATAATCTTAAACTCTCCAGGTCACAAGATAATTTCAAAATGTAACCAGGCCAGGTAACACCAGTGAAGCTAATGATGATAATACTGTGGATAGAGATTACTGTACAGTGTAGACTTTGACAAACTAACTACATCTGACATATTTAGGCATCTCATTCTGCCTGAGTTCACCACCCACACTCTCTCTCTCACACTCAATCTCCCTCCCTCCCTCCCTCGCTCCCTCTCTCTCCACTCTCACCAACCCAGTTTGTTATGGCTGGGTCCTGTAGGCCACAGCTGGCCTCTGCCCTCTGTCAGCCTCTCAGCTGGCTTTACCCACAATCCTCAGCTGGACTGTATCAAAGAGTCTTGTTTCCTGTGCTTGGATCTTGTGTATTTTTTGTATTTATTAGCGATCCCCATTAGCTGCTCATGCAGCAACTATTCTTTCTGGGGCCCAGCAAAATTAAAGCAGTTATATATACTTTTTTAAACATTACAATACGTGTGTGCCCTCAGACCACTGTTCTATTATAACATGCAGTATCTACAACACAAAATCCATGTGTACATGTCTGTATAGTGCGTACATTCTCGCGTGTGTGTGTGTGTGTGTGTCTCTTCACAGTCCCCACTGTGAGTGTGTGTGTGTTTTAATGTGTTTGTGTGTGTGTGTGTGTGTGTGTGTGTGTGTGTGTGTGTATGTGTGTGTGTATGTGTGTGTGTATTGTGTGTGTGTGTGTGTGTGTGGTGTGTGTGGTGTGTGGTGTGTGTGTGTGTGGTGTGTGTGTGTGTGTGTGTGGTGTGTGTGTGTGGGGTGTGTGTGTGTGATGTGTGTGTGTGTGTGTGTGTGTGTGTGTGGTGTGTGTGTGTGTGTGTGTGTGTGTGTGTGTGTGTGTGTGTGTGGTGGTGTGGTGTGTGTGTGTGGGTGTGTGTGTGTGTGTGTGGTGTGGTGTGTGTGGTGTGGGTGTGTGTGGTGTGTGTGTGCCGGGTTACTTCCAGGCTGACCATTGACCCCATTACATGTTCCATAAACCCACTTAACCCAACAACTATTACAGAGTGTTACAGAGACAAGACGTCATTTTCTGAGGCTTGTCGTGATATGTTGAATATCCGCTACACACACCTACCCTACCTCTACTCACTCCTACCCTACCGCGACACCACACCACCCACCGCACACACACCGACCCGACCGCGACACACGCCGACCGACACCGCGACACACGCCGACCCGACCCGACACACGCCGACCCGACCGCTACAGGCCGACCCGACCGCGACACACGCCGACCCGACCGCGACACACGCCGACCCACCGCGACACACTCCGACCCGACCAGACACACGCCGACCCGACCGCGACACACCCTACCCGACCCGACCAGGCCACCCCGACCCGAACCCACAGCCGACCCGACCGCTGACACACGCCGACCCGACCGCACACACGCCGACCCGACCGCGACACACGCCGACCCGACCCGACACGCCCGACCGCGACACACCCTGACCCGACAGTGCGACACACGCCACCCACCGCGACACACGCCGACCCGACCGCGACACACGCCACCCACCTGCACACACGCGACCCTACAACTCCACCCGACTGCGTACACACTCCTACCCTACCTCTACACACTCCTAACCTACCTCTACACACTCCTACCCTACCTCTACACACTCCTACCCTACCTCTACACACTCATACCCTACCTCTACACACACCTACCCTACCTCTACACACCCACTCCCGAGTGGCGCAGTGGTCTAAGGCACTGCATCGCAGTGCTAGCTGTGCCACTAGAGATCCTGTTTCGAATCCAGGCTCTGCTGTAGCCGGCCGCAACCGGGAGACCAATGGGGTGGCGCACAATTGGCCCAGCGTCGTCCAGGGTAGGGGAGGGAATGGCCGGCAGGGAGGTAGCTCAGTTGGTAGAGCATGGCGTTTGCAACGCCAGGGTTGTGGATTCGATTCCCACGGGGGGCCAGTATAAAAAAGAATAATGTATGCACTAACTGTAAGTCGCTCTGGATAAGAGCGTCTGCTAAATGACGTAAATGTAAATGTTTGACACCCACAGCCAAGGAAGTACAGTGTTCCGGTCACTGCTGCATGAGTGAGTACACATGCACTAAAGTAATATATATATACGCAATACCAGTCAAAGGTTTGGACACACCTACTCATTCAAGGTTTTACTTTATTTATATTATTTTTTACATTGTAGAATAATAGTGAAGACATCAAAACTATGAAATAACACATATGGAATCATGTATTAACCAAAAAAGTGTTAAACAAATCAAAATATATTTTATATTTGAGATTATTTAAATAGCCACCCTTTGCCTTGATGACAGCTTTGCACACTCTTGGCATTCTCTCAACCAGCTTCAACCAGATCTCATTCACAGTTGCTTCGGTGAGTTCACGTGTTGACAGGTCACCTGGTCTGGGACTAGATAACCCTTTCAGTGTCTAGCTACTTGACCATCACTCAAAATCACTTTAGTTGTTGTTATGGATTGGAGTGAATGGAAACGAGCAACAGTAGATGGCCCACGTCTCTTATTCCTGCTTTGGGTAGAACCAGAACCCACTGTTTACTAACCATGAGTTTATGTTTGTTTGTGATAGGGAAGAAACTCAGTCATTACTGGGACCAATGGGAATCACACTCACTCACACACTCACTCACCACACACTCACACAATCACTCACACACTCACACACTCACTCACACACTGACGCACACACACACACACTTTGGTAGCCAAACATCTGTGGCTGTCCTCTCCCTGCCATCAGCCCCATTCCAAAACAATTTCACTGATAAGACTGAGCCTGTGTGTGTGCGTGCGTGTGTGTGTGTGTGTGTGTGTGTGTGTGTGTGTGTGTGTGTGTGTGTGTGTGTGTCTGTGTGTGCGTGTCTGTGCATGTGTGAATGTGTGTGTGTGTGTGTGTGTGTGTGTGTGTGTGTGTGTATGTGTGTGTCTGTGTGCGTGTGTGTGCATGTGTGTGCGTGTCTGTGCATGTGTGAATGTGTGTATGTGTGTGTGTGTGTGTGGACCAGTTTCGAGAGTCAGATGTGGGAGGAGGAGTCAGGCAATGAGGACAGTGCTGCCCAGCCAATCAGTGGGTAATATGCCACATTGGATGGATATGTGTGTGTGAGACCAGTCTCCAGGAGCTACTTAATCACACCAGCCGCAGCACAGAGCAGCTCTTTCTGGTGATTTCAATCCTCAAATAATACTGATAATGATAAACATGGCCAGAATGGATCCAGAATGGACCAGAACACACACACGAGCTCAACTCATCTACAAAAATGGATATCGGTCCAATCATGGGAAGTTCATATTTCAATGGGTTGGCATGTGTGTGTCTGTCTGTGTTATTTGGTAAGTAGGCTGGTAGAAGGGGTGATTGGGTAGCATCACCCCTTTAAATAGGTCTCTACTTTGTGGTAGTGTGTTTGACCTGTAACATGACTGTAGTTTCAATAGTTCAAATACAACTCCAACTGTTTACATTTACTATCAAGCATCATGATATACTGTTTACATGTACTATCAAGCATCATGATATGGTTTTTACATTTACTATCAAGCATCATGTTATGCTGTTTACATTTACTATCAAGCATCATGATATAATGTTTACATTTACTACCAAGCATCATGATATAATGTTTACATTTACTATCAATCTTCATTATATACTTTTTACATTTACTATCAAGCATCATGATATAATGTTTACATTTACTATCAAGCATCATGATATAATGTTTACATTTACTACCAAGCATCATGATATACTGTTTACATTTACTATCAAGCATCATGATATAATGTTTACATTTACTATCAAGCATCATGATATAAAACATTTTTCTCATTTTGATCTTTCTCTCTGGTCCTCCTGTCGCCCCAGAACACCCTGACCTGCCATGTGCTATTCAATGGTCTGCTGTGGCTGAGAAGCTAACCCTGGGTGTGGTGAAGGTTTGGGGGAGGCTGAACCTGGGTGTGGTGAAGGTGTGGTGAAAGTGTGGTGAAGGTGTGGTGGAGGTGTGATGAAGATGTGGGGTAGGTGTGGTGAAGGTGTAGGGGAGGTGTGATGCGGCAGGTAGCTTAGTGGTTAAGAGCGTTGTGCCAGTAACCGAAAGGTCGCTGGTTCTAATCCCCGAGCCGACTAGGTGAAAAATCTGTCGATGTGCCCTTGAGCAAGGCACTTAACCCTAATTGCTCTTGTAAGTCGCTCTGGATAAGAGCGTCTGCTAAATGACCAATTATTTTATTATTATTATGATGAAGTGGTGGTGAAGATGTGGGGGAGGTGTGGTGGAAATGTGGGGGAGGTGTGGTCAAGGTGTGGGGGAGGTGTGGTGAAGTTGTGGGGAGGTGTGTTGAATGTGTTGTGAATGTTATGGAAAGGTGTGGGGGAGTTGTGGTGAAGATGTGGGGGAGGTGTGGTGAAGTTGTGGTGAAGATGTGGGGGAGGTGTGGTGAAGGTGTGGGGGAGGTGTGGGGATGTGTGGTGAAGCAGTGGTGAAAGTGTGGGGGAGGTGTCGTGAAGGTGTGGGGGAGGTGTGGTGAAGGCTTGGGGAAGTGTGGTGAAGGTGTGGAGGAGGTGTGGTGAAGGTTTGGGGGAGGTGTGGTGAATGTGTGGTGAAGGTGTGGCGGAGGTGTGGTGATAGTGTGGGGGACATGTGGGGAGGTGTGGTGAAGGTGTGGGGGAGGGGGTCGTGAGCGTCCCTATCACAGAGGTCACACAACGAGATGGCTTGGACACAGAGAACATGATCACCACAACACCACACCACCACTTAGGTGAGACACACACCACACCACAACACCACAACACCACTGAGGTGAGACACACACCATACCACACACCACAACACAACACACCACACCACCACCACTGAGGTGAGACACACACCACAACACCACTGAGGTGAGACACACACCACACCACAACACACCACACCAAAATACACAACAACACACCCCTCCAAAACACACCACACCACACCAAAACACACCACACCATACCACACCAAAACACACCACACCACTCCAAAACACACAACACCAAAACACACCACACCAAACCCAAACACACCACACCAAAAAACACCACACCACACCCAAACACACCACACCAAAACACACCACAACACACCACACCAAAACACACCACTCCAAAACACCCCACACCCAACCACAACACACCACACCAAAACACACCACACCACAACACACCATTCCAAAACACACCACACCACAACAAAACACACCACACCACACCCCACCCCACCACAACACAGCACAGCACAGCACAGCCACAGCACAACACACTCAAAACACACTCAGAACACACTCAGAACAAACATATTAATTTCAGTAGACATGGGTAAGGTTGTAATGGTAGGATTGTCCGTATAAGACAGTGTAGAAATACTTGTGAAGAAGCAGAGCTGATGAAGAACAGCATGCCTACTCAGAGGTGCTGCTCTACCCCCAGTTAGTATTTGACTTTGGGCCAAGCTCATTGTACCACTGGCTGTCTTTACAGCAGTGACTAGACTGTAGGCTTAGAATTGGCCCCATCCCTCTTTACCCCTCCAAAGTGTCTACTAGTGGATGGGTGATGATCTGCCAGAACAAGATGTCTGCCGTGACTCATTATCTAATAGCTGTAATCATGGAGGTCACCTTGTGATTCCTTTGTAATAAACATGAGCTATGAGCAGGAGGAGTAGCACAGAGGTAGTTGCCCAGAGAGTACAGGAAGTGTAAGACAATACTAATCAACAGCAGAGGAGATGGGATGGCAGGAGGTAGGAAGAGGATCAGTAAGGCAATCACAGAGGGCGGGAGGAACGGATGGTAAGACGACACGTTTGGAAGATGACATTTTGTCTGTGTCCTCATTTGCCCTGTGATGAAGAGTCTTCATTTGGAGGTATACTGCATTCACTCCGACTACCAACACCTTGTAACCGATAGTGACACACTCCATAAATAATCATTTGAAAATAACATAAGAGACTGACAGACTCAGAGAGATGCAGTAGTCATGCATTTGAATAAATGGTATTGCGGCACCAGCCTATCCATTCATCTCCTTTAGTGTTTTCACACTGGATAACAAGTTCAAATAACAGGCTGTTCCATCTCTCTTTCACCATGTTAGTGTCAGGTTGCTGCTGCCACACACACACAAAGAAGGGGTGTAGGTCTATGTATTAGGAGGGGGTGGTTGATAGGAAGGGATTTTGTCACTGCGAGACACTGACTGCGAGACACTGATGAATGTTCAGGCAGATCGCTCAAGAGTGATTGGACGTCTATCCGTCCTGAGAACATTGGGAACTGCCTTCAAAATCGGCCACTAGGAGAAACAGTTAATGCTGTTACCATCAAGTAGGCTTGGGTTTTGCTAGGGCCTTATGGACATGGGTGGTGGATGGGCGTAATCCCTTGACTCTGAATCAGAAGTTTGAACGTTGAGTCCCAGTGGACAGCACCTGTTTTTAAATTGTTTTGTTCTAACCCTATCCCAAACCCTTACCTTAACCATTCGGAATGAGTGCCAAAACGTAGTGTTTTAACCCTATCCTAAACCTTAACGGTTAACTTTCTAGATTTGACGTTTGGAGCAATTTCGAAATTTGAACGTCTAATTCTGCAGGGAGACTGTGAGAGCTTGTTGGAATAATATTATGGTGTGTGTGTGTGTGTGTGTGTGTGTGTGTGTCTGTCTGTCTGTCTGTCTGTCTGTCTGTCTGTCTGTCTGTCTGTCTGTCTGTCTGTCTGTCTGTCTGTCTGTCTGTCTGTCTGTCTGTCTGTCTGTCTGTCTGTCTGTCTGTCTGTCTGTCTGTCTGTCTGTCTGTCTGTCTGTGTGTGTGTGTGTGTGTGTGTGTGTGTGTGTGTGTGTGTGTGTGTGTGTGTGTGTGTGTGTGTCTGTCTGTCTGTCTGTCTGTCTGTCTGTCTGTCTGTCTGTCTGTCTGTCTGTCTGTCTGTCTGTCTGTCTGTCTGTCTGTCTGTCTGTCTGTCTGTCTGTCTGTCTGTCTGTCTGTCTGTCTGTCTGTCTGTCTGTCTGTCTGTCTGTCTGTCTGTCTGTCTGTCTGTCTGTCTGTCTGTCTGTCTGTCTCTCTGTGTGTGCAGACAACGTGTGGTGTGTGTCTGGGAGGATAATGGTTTGGGTTTATTGCAAGAGGAAGAGGACAGTCAGAACACCTATTCAATTAGCAGCGCTGTCTGGAACACCAGGCACCACCCAGTGTGTTGGGGAACATTGCTTAGTCTGGCCTGTACACACACACACACACACACACACAACCACACACACACACAACCACACACACAAACACACACACACACACATGCACATGCGAACAGAAGGGACACCTCTGACTATGCTTTGCATTCAAATGTTATGTTATTTCTCTGCTGATGCATACTGGGTATTCTTCACTAGAGATCATGTATTTCCTGTATATTGTAACTTAAAACAAAATATTTTTCTACCAAGTTTTCAACTAAGTTTTTCATCCACCTACAGTGAGGGAAAAAAGTATTTGATCCCCTGCTGATTTTGTACGTTTGCCCACTGACAAAGAAATGATCAGTCAATAATTTTAATGGTAGGTTTATTTGAACAGTGAGAGACAGAATAACAACAAAAACATCCAGAAAAACTGTCAAAAAAGTTATAAATTGATTTGCATTTTAATGAGGGAAATAAGTATTTGACCCCCTCTCAATCAGAAAGATTTTTGGCTCCCAGGTGTCTTTTATACAGGTAACGAGCTGAGATTAGGAGCAAACACTTAAAGGGAATGCTCCTAATCTCAGCTTGTTACCTGAATAAAAGACACCTGTCCACAGAAGCAATCAATCAATCAGATTCCAAACTCTCCACCATAGCCAAGACCAAAGAGCTGTCCAAGGATTTCAGGGACAAGATTGTAGACCTACACAAGGCTGGAATGGGCTACAAGACCATCACCAAGCAGCTTGGTGAGAAGGTGACAACAGTTGGTGCGATTATTCGTAAATGGAAGAAACACAAAAGAACTGTCAATCTCCCTCGGCCTAGGGCTCCTGATGATGATCATGAGAACGGTGAGGAATCAGCCCAGAACTACAAGGGAGGATCTTGTCAATGATCTCAAGGCAGCTGGGACCATAGTCACCAAGAAAACAATTGGTTACACATTATGCCGTGAAGGACTGAAATCCTGCAGCGTCTGCAAGGTCCCCCTGCTCAAGAAAGCACATATACATGCCCGTCTGAAGTTTGCCAATGAACATCTGAATGATTCAGAGGAGAACTGGGTGAAAGTGTTGTGGTCAGATGAGACCAAAATTGAGCTCTTTGGCATCAACTCAACTCGCCGTGTTTGGAGGAGGAGGAATGCTGCCTATGACCCCAAGAACACCATTTCCACCATCAAACATGGAGGTGGAAACATTATGCTTTGGGGGTTTTTCTGCTAAGGGGACAGGACAACTTCACCGCATCAAAGGGACGATGGACAGGGCCATGTATCGTCAAATCTTGGGTGAGAACCTCCTTCCCTCAGCCAGGGCATTGAAAATGGGTCATGGATGGGTATTCCAGCATGACAATGACCCAAAACACACGGCCAAGGCAACAAAGGAGTGGCTCAAGAAGAAGCACATTAAGGTCCTGGAGTGGCCTAGCCAGTCTCCAGACCTTAATCCCATAGAAAATCTGTGGAGGGAGCTGAAGGTTCGAGTTGCCAAACGTCAGCCTCAAAACCTTAATGACTTGGAGAAGATCTGCAAAGAGGAGTGGAACAAAATCCCTCCTGAGATGTGTGCAAACCTGGTGGCCAACTACAAGAAACGTCTGACCTCTGTGATTGCCAACAAGGGTTTTGCCACCAAGTACGAATTCATGTTTTGCAGAGGGTCAAATACTTATTTCCCTCATTAAATTGCAAATCAATTTATAACATTTTTGACATTAGTTTTTCTGGATTTTGTTGTTGTTATTTTGTCTCTCACTGTTCAAATAAACCTACCATTAAAATTATAGACTGATCATGTCTTTGTCAGTGGGAAAACGTATAAAATCAGCAGGGGATCAAAAACTGTTTTCCCTCGCTGTAGATCCAATCTGAGGTTAATCAATATGCTTCCTCTAAAACCTTACCGTCAGGCATTTGATCTGAAAGAACAACATGTCTGTGTTATTGTGATGCGTTACAGTCAGGCCTTTGATCTGAAAGAACAACGTGTCTGTGTTATTGTGATGAGTGAATGACAGAAGCGTCTTCTGTAGCTCAATTGGTAGAGCATGGCGCTTGTAACGCCAGGGTAGTGGGTTTGATCCCCGGGACCATCCATACGTAAAAATGTACGCACACATGACTGTAAGTCGCTTTGGATAAAAGTGTCTGCTAAATGGCATAATATTATTAGGAGCGTTTGGGAGACGGAGGGGAAAATGAGTAGAAGAAAATAAATGGTGGAATGAAAATACTGTGACATCATCAAAGCTTTCACGTGAGTCTGGGTGGTGTTCTATTTTCTATACTGTATATATATATATATATATATATATATATTGTGTGTGTTTGTGTCTGTGTGTGTGTCTGTGTGTGTGTCTGTGTGCGTGCACACAATGTGTTTGTGCTCTCCCTCTTTCCTTCTCTCTCTTTCTGTCTCCCTCACTCTCTCGTCTATAGAACTACCAGCTCTCACTCCCGCTAAGGGTACCGACGGCTAACGCCCTCGCTCACGAAGAGACTCGACCGAACGGGCCCCTCGACCAGAGACCAGCGCCACGTTGCCCTCGCCTGTCTCCTCGTCTCCTCCCGCTCGCTAGCTCCGTCGTCGCGCTCCTGCGAGCGCTATCTACTCTCTCTCTCCCTCTCAATTATCACTCTCCCTCTCTCTCTCTCTATCCTACTCTCACTCTAACTCTCACTCTCCCTCCCTCACAAACACACACACACACTCACTAAACATAGACATACAGTGGGGAAAAAAGTATTTAGTCAGCCACCAATTGTGCAAGTTCTCCCACTTAAAAAGATGAGAGAGGCCTGTAATTTTCATCATAGGTACACGTCAACTATGACAGACAAATTGAGATTTCTTTTCTCCAGAAAATCACATTGTAGGATTTTTAATGAATTTATTTGCAAATTATGGTGGAAAATAAGTATTTGGTCACCTACAAACAAGCAAGATTTCTGGCTCTCACAGACCTGTAACTTCTTCTTTAAGAGGCTCCTCTGTCCTCCACTCGTTACCTGTATTAATGGCACCTGTTTGAACTTGTTATCAGTATAAAAGACACCTGTCCACAACCTCAAACAGTCACACTCCAAACTCCTCTATCACCAAGACCAAAGAGCTGTCAAAGGACACCAGAAACAAAATTGTAGACCTGCACCAGGCTGGGAAGACTGAATCTGCAATAGGTAAGCAGCTTGGTTTGAAGAAATCAACTGTGGGAGCAATTATTAGGAAATGGAAGACATACAAGACCACTGATAATCTCCCTCGATCTCACCCTGTGGGGTCAAAATGATCACAAGAAAGGTGAGCAAAAATCCCAGAACCACACGGGGGGACCAAGTGTTTGACCTGCAGAGAGCTGGGACCAAATTAACAAAGCCTACCATCAGTAACACACTACGCCGCCAGGGACTCAAATCCTGCAGTGCCAGACGTGTCCCCCTGCTTAAGCCAGTACATGTCCAGGCCCGTCTGAAGTTTGCTAGAGTGCATTTGGATGATCCAGAAGAGGATTGGGAAAATGTCATATGGTCAGATGAAACCAAAATAGAACTTTTTGGTAAAAACTCAACTCGTCGTGTTTGGAGGACAAAGAATGCTGAGTTGCATCCAAAGAACACCATACCTATTGTGAAGCATGGGGGTGGAAACATCATGCTTTGGGGCTTTTTTTCTGCAAAGGGACCAGGACGACTGATCCGTGTAAAGGAAATAATGAATGGGGCCATGTATCGTGAGATTTTGAGTGAAAACCTCCTTCCATCAGCAAGGACATTGAAGATGAAACGTGGCTGGGTCTTTCAGCATGACAATGATCCCAAATACACCGCCCGGGCAACGAAGGAGTGGCTTCGTAAGAAGCATTTCAAGGTCCCGGAGTGGCCTAGCCAGTCCCCAGATCTCAACCCCATAGAAAATCTTTGGATGGAGTTGAAAGTCCGTGTTGCCCAGCGACAGCCCCAAAATATCACTGCTCTAGAGGAGATCTGCATGGAGGAATGGGCCAAAATACCAGCAACAGTGTGTGAAAACCTTACAGAAAACTTTTGACCTGTGTCATTGCCAACAAATGGTATATAACAAAGTATTGAGAAACTTTTGTTATTGACCAAATACTTATTTTCCTTCATAATTTGCAAATAAATTCATTAAAAATACTACAATGTGATTTTCTGGATTTTTTTTCTCACTTTGTCTGTCATAGTTGACGTGTACCTATGATGAAAATTACAGGACTCTCTCATCTTTTTAAGTGGGAGAACTTGCACAATTGGTGGCTGACTAAATACTTTTTCCCCCACTGTAGTTGAATAAGCAGACACTAAAATATAAAAAGAAACAACAAATGGCCAAACAGACACATCCAGGCGTAAGCTCATGCACTGTATATCCTCCTCTAACAGATTTGTTTGAGATATTAAACAGTGTGGTGTGGTGTTGCTTAGCCCTTTACTGCAGTCAAATGACCTAGTGGCCTCAAGGGTGAAATGTTATTAATCTTTTTCATAATTTCATAATTATGGTGTTTCTATGTCAAACAGTTTTGTTATATTTCATAGACATATATGTTTATAAAGCATAATATTGTGATGCAAACTCAAAATGTAATATATTTCACTTCTTTATCTGACATGGTACAGATGTCTTCTTCTTTTTTAAGCCCATAACCATGCATGTGAGGTGTTTCAAACTTTTTTTTCAAAATAGATTTGTTTAAGATTACCAAGAAACACTCTGTGTGACCCTGATTTAGCCCACTGCAGTAAAATATTAATGACTAACATTAGGGGAACCTAAGGAGGATGTTAGATCTAATGATTACTGACTAACATTCGGGAACCTAAGGAGGATGTTAGATCTAATGGTTACTGACTAACATTAGGGGAACCTAAGGAGGATGTTAGATCTAATGATTACTGACTAACATTAGGGGAACCTAAGGAGGATGTTAGATCTAATGGTTACTGACTAACATTAGGGGAACCTAAGGAGGATGTTAGATATAATGGTTACTGACTAACATTCGGGGAACCTAAGGAGGATGTTAGATCTAATGGTTACTGACTAACATTCGGGGAACCTAAGGAGGATGTTAGATCTAATGGTTACTGACTAACATTCGGGGAACCTAAGGAGGATGTTAGATCTAATGGTTACTGACTAACATTCGGGGAACCTAAGGAGGATGTTAGATCTAATGGTTACTGACTAACATTCGGGGAACCTAAGGAGGATGTTAGATCTAATGGTTACTGACTAACATTCGGGGAACCTAAGGAGGATGTTAGATCTAATGGTTACTGACTAACATTAGGGGAACCTAAGGAGGAAGTTAGATCTAATGGTTACTGACTAACATTAGGGGAACCTAAGGAGGATGTTAGATCTAATGGTTACTGACTAACATTAGGGGAACCTAAGGAGGATGTTAGATCTAATGGTTACTGAATAACATTCGAGGAACCTAAGGAGGATGTTAGATCTAATGGTTACTGACTAACATTCGGGGAACCTAAGGAGGATGTTAGATCTAATGGTTACTGACTAACATTAGGGGAACCTAAGGAGGATGTTAGATCTAATGGTTACTGACTAACGTTCGAGGAACCTAAGGAGGATGTTAGATCTAATGGTTACTGACTAACATTCGGGGAACGTAAGGAGGATGTTAGATCTAATGGTTACTGACTAACATTCGGGGAACCTAAGGAGGATGTTAGATCTAATGGTTACTGACTAATATTCGGGGAACCTAAGGAGGATGTTAGATCTAATGGTTACTGACTAACTTTAGGGGAACCTAAGGAGGATGTTAGATCTAATGGTTACTGACTAACATTCGGGGGAACCTCAGGAGGATGTTAGATCTAATGGTTACTGACTAATTTTCGGGGAACCTAAGGAGGATGTTAGATCTAATGGTTACTGACTAACATTCGGGGAACCTAAGGAGGATGTTAGATCTAATGGTTACTGACTAACATTCGGGGAACCTAAGGAGGATGTTAGATCTAATGGTTACTGACTAATATTCGGGGAACCTAAGGAGGATGTTAGATCTAATGGTTACTGACTAACATTAGGGGAACCTAAGGAGGATGTTAGATCTAATGGTTACTGACTAACATTCGGGGAACCTAAGGAGGATGTTAGATCTAATGGTTACTGACTAATATTCGGGGAACCTAAGGAGGATGTTAGATCTAATGGTTACTGACTAACATTAGGGGAACCTAAGGAGGATGTTAGATCTAATGGTTACTGACTAAAATTAGGGGAACCTAAGGAGGATGTTAGATCTAATGGTTACTGACTAATATTCGGGGAACCTAAGGAGGATGTTAGATCTAATGGTTACTGACTAACATTCGGGGAACCTAAGGAGGATGTTAGATCTAATGGTTACTGACTAATATTCGGGGAACCTAAGGAGGATGTTAGATCTAATGGTTACTGAGTAATATTCGGGGAACCTAAGGAGGATGTTAGATCTAATGGTTACTGACTAACATTCGGGGAACCTAAGGAGGATGTTAGATCTAATGGTTACTGACTAACATTCGGGGAACCTAAGGAGGATGTTAGATCTAATGGTTACTGACTAACATTAGGGGAACCTAAGGAGGATGTTAGATCTAATGGTTACTGACTAACATTAGGGGAACCTAAGGAGGAAGTTAGATCTAATGGTTACTGACTAACATTCGGGGAACCTAAGGAGGATGTTAGATCTAATGGTTACTGACTAATATTCGGGGGAACCTAAGGAGGATGTTAGATCTAATGGTTACTGACTAACATTCGGGGAACCTAAGGAGGATGTTAGATCTAATGGTTACTGACTAACATTCGGGGAACCTAAGGAGGATGTTAGATCTAATGGTTACTGACTAACATTCGGGGGAACCTAAGGAGGATGTTAGATCTAATGGTTACTGACTAATATTCGGGGAACCTAAGGAGGATGTTAGATCTAATGGTTACTGACTAACATTAGGGGAACCTAAGGAGGATGTTAGATCTAATGGTTACTGACTAACATTCGGGGAACCTAAGGAGGATGTTAGATCTAATGGTTACTGACTAACATTCGGGGAACCTAAGGAGGATGTTAGATCTAATGGTTACTGACTAACATTCGGGGAACCTAAGGAGGATGTTAGATCTAATGGTTACTGACTAACATTCGGGGAACCTAAGGAGGATGTTAGATCTAATGGTTACTGACTAACATTCGGGGAACCTAAGGAGGATGTTAGATCTAATGGTTACTGACTAACATTCGGGGAACCTAAGGAGGATGTTAGATCTAATGGTTACTGACTAACATTAGGGGAACCTAAGGAGGATGTTAGATCTAATGGTTACTGACTAACATTCGGGGAACCTAAGGAGGATGTTAGATCTAATGGTTACTGACTAACATTCGGGGAACCTAAGGAGGATGTTAGATCTAATGGTTACTGACTAACATTAGGGGAACCTAAGGAGGAAGTTAGATCTAATGGTTACTGACTAACATTAGGGGAACCTAAGGAGGATGTTAGATTTAATGGTTACTGACTAACATTCGGGGAACCTAAGGAGGATGTTAGATCTGAAGATTCTGGTGAGTATAAATAAACACTCACTAACTGTTGGTGCTTATCCATTCAATGTCACAGCCAATAGTGTGTGCCTGTGTGTGTGCGTGTGCGTGTGCGCGTGTGTGTGTGCCTGTGCGTGTGCCCGTGTGAGCGTGCCTGTGCGTGTGCCCTTGCCCGTGTGAGCGTATGTGCCTGTGTATGTGTTGATGTCAGCCTCTCTGCCAAACAGAGGCGCGTACGGTCTTTAGAGCCAGGGAAGACAGAGAGTTACAGGGAGAATCTCAATTGGATTTTGCTCAAACTCCTCCTTCGTCCTCTCCTCACCTTATTTCCTTCTCCGTTTACATTACATTTACATGTTAGTCATTTAGCAGACACTCTTATCCCGAGTGACTTACAATTAGTATATTCATCTTAAGATTGCTTGGTGAGAGAACAACATATCACAATCGTATCAAGTACATTTTCCCTCAACAAAGTAGTTATCAGCAAAGTCAGTGCTAGCAGGAGTGCAATGTTTTTCCTTCACTTATTTTCTCCACTTGCTTATCATCAGGGAAAAATGATGTTTACAGTGTTGGAATCCCAAAATACAGTGCCTTCAGAAAGTATTCAAACCCCTTGACTTATTCCACATTTTGTTGTGTTACAGCCTGAATTCAAAATTGATTAAATATATGTTTTTTCTCACCCAACTACACACAATAACCTATAATTACAAAGTGAAAACCTGTTTTTAGACATTTTTGCTAATTTATTGAAAATTAAATACAGAAATAGGTCATTTACATAAGTATTCACACCCCTGAGTCAATACTTTGAATAAGCACTTTTGGCAGCGATTACAGCTATGAGTCTTTCTGGGTAAGTCTCTACGAGCTTTCCACACCTGGGTTGTGCAACATTTGCCCATTATTCTTTTCAAAATCCTTCAAGCGCTGTCAAATTGTTTGTTGATCATTGCTAGACAACCATTTTCAGGTCTTGCCATAGATTTCCAAGCACATTTAAGTCAAAACTGTAACTCGGCCACTCAGGGATATTCACTGTGTTCTTGGTAAGGAACTCCAGTGTAGATTTGACCTTGTGTTTTAGGTTATAGTTCTGCTGAAAGGTGAATTCATCTCCCAATGTCTGGTGGAAAGCAGACTGAACCAGGTTTTCCTCTAGGATTTTACTTGTGCTTAGCTCCGTTCCATTTATTTTTTAACCTTAAAAACTCCCCAGTCCTTAATGATTACAACATACCCATAACATTATGCAGCAACCACTACACTTGAAAATATGATGAGTACTGCTCAGTAATGTCTTATGTTGTATTTGCACCAAACACAACACTTTGCATTCAGGACATTTTTTGCAGTATTACTTTAGTGCCTTGTTGCAAACAGGATGCATGTTTTGGAATATTTGTATTCTGTACAGGATTCCTTCTTTTCACTCTGTCAATTATTTTAGTATTGTGGAGTAACTACAATACTACAATATTGATCCATCCTCAGTTTTCTCCTATCACAGCCATTAAACTCTGTAACTGTTTTAAAGTCACCATTGGCCTCATGATTAAATCCCTGAGCGGTGTCCTTCCTCTCCGGCAACTGAGTTAGGAAGGCTGCATGTATCTTTATAGTGACTGGGTGTATTGATACACCATCCAAAGTGTAATTAACAAATTCCACCATGCTCAAAGGGATATTCAATGTCTGCTTTTTTCTTATCCATCTACCAATAGGTGCCCTTCTTTGCTAGGCATTGGAAAACCTCCCTGGTCTTTGTGGTTGAATCTGTATTTGAAATTCACTGCTCCACTGAGGGACCTTACAGATAATTGTATGTGTGGGGTACAGAGATGAGGTAATCATTCAGAAATCATGTTAAACACTATTATTGCACACAGAGTCCATGCAACTTATTATGTGCCTTATTAAGCACAATTTCTACCCCTAAACCTATTTAGGCTTGCCATAACGAAGGGATTGAATACTTATTGACTGAAGACATTTTAGACTTTCATTTTTAATTAATATAAAAACAAACATAATTCCACTTTGACATTATGGGGTATTGTGTGTAGGGCAGTGACAAACAATCTCAATTTAATCAATTTCAAATTCACAACAAAATGTGTAAAAAGTCAAAGGGTGTGAATACTTTCTGAAGGCTGTAAAAATATAAAACATTTTAGTAGCGTTTCGTTTTTATTTGTTTGCATGTTTTTCTCCTTTAAGAAGGTGTTGTGGCATATTTTAAAACACTGCCGAAAGGATATTCTTGTGCGTCCTCTGCTGAAGTAGGCGATTGAGAAGGTGAGCAGACTACTCCGGTCAACCTTCTAATGAATGACACTCTCCCCGACCACTCCACCACAGTTTCTGTGTCACAGAGGAGGAGAGGAGTCAAGGAAAGGACAGACTTTTTCCCAAATGAGAATCCCCCGAAGATTCATAGCTTTGTTATCTACTTCAGCAGGGATAAAATATTCTCTTTGTCTAAATCCTGATTTGATGATTTATAGATCTTTGGCCAGATGAACTCATCATGTGTAGCAGATAAAATGAAATCCCTTTGCCTTCTTTTCCCAACAGAGATCTGTCGTCCATTTGTCACCATTTCAGTGTGATACCAACCTTGGGTTAACTCGGCATCAGGCTCCAGTTGTTTTGTTTGAATGCCTCTGGTTGCCATTCAGGATGACACATCTACTTCTTTTTGTGTTTTTGATATCTGGTCAAAGACCGAGGGAGCAGCACCAGGGATCTGAAAGCCAGTGAAGCTGTCACCTCCTATCAGAAGTTGCTGGACTCTCAGGCTTTGTAATGTCATCAGAAATAAAAAAGAGATGGTACACAGAGATTATACGATTCCTTTGTCTTCCCTCTCTTTCTCTCTCTTTCATTCTTTCTATATCTTTATCTCTCTCTCTCTCTCTCTCTCTCTCTCTCTCTCTCTCTCTCTCTCTCTCTCTCTCTCTCGCCGTCCACCACACTGTCATTCTGTAAGCAGTGCTACCGTGCTGACAGCCCAATAACACCCTGTCTTACCGAATAATCACGAGCAATTTCACTGCCTGACACAAACACACACAGGGTTGGGTAGGTTACTTTCTAAATGTAATCCGTTGTAGTCACTAGTTACCTGTCCATAACTGTTATAAATGACGTAACTTTTGGATTACCCAAACTCAGTAACGTAATCTGATTACTTTCAGTTACTTTTTGATTACTTTCCCCTTAAGAGGCATTAGAACAAGACAAAAAGGATCCATCAAACACATTTGGTGTGTCATCACAGTGGTCTCTGATTGGTAGTCATCATAGTCGTCTCTGATTGGTGGTCATCATAGTGGTCTCTGACTGGTGGTCATCATTTGGTGTGTCATCATAGTGGTCTCTGATTGGTGGTCAGACTCTAGTTCTTTATATTTGCCGGTTGAGGTGTCATTCACACGACATGGTCTCTCAAAGGGGTAGAGATGTCACTTAAAAAAAGGCATCTTCCCTTTCTATACTGAGAGTGGGAAGAGTTTCTTCTGTTGTCTACACACAATGGGAAAGTCTCATCACTCCGAAGATAACAGCACATCTTTCAGCTATATCTCCAGTGTCTGTGTGTGTGTGTGTGTGTGTGTGCATCCATGTGTGTGTGTGTGTGTGCATTTGTGTGTGTGTGCATGTGTGTGTGCGTGCACGTGTGTGTGTGTGTGTGCATCCATGTGTGTGTGTGTGTGTCCATGTGTGTGCGTTCATGTATGTGCGCGCGTCCATGTGTGTGTGTGTCCATGTGTGTGCGTTCATGTGTGTGTGTGTCCATGTGTGTGTGAATCCATGTGTGTGTTTGTGTGTGTGCGTTGATTCATCCATTTGTCCTTTTTTTCCTACCCTTGCTTATGTATCCCTAACTTTCCCCAAGCCGTACGACCATCAAAGCTTTGTCTTTCCAACACATGGAGCACCAAGAGACCTATTCCAGAGACAGGCCCCTGTTTGACTATTTAAAGTGTGGTTTGTGTTAAGGGGCCGTTTGATTGGATTACAGGATTCTGAAGACAGACACTGGGTAGAAGTTACTTTTAGGCACAGATCTAGGATCAGCTTACCCTCTCCAAATCCTAACCTTAACCACACAAGATAAACTGCTAAACTGACCTTAAGTCAGCACTGTGAAGTAGATTAATTGATAGCTGTGGAGTCCCTTTCAGTAAAGTTTAAAATGAGCAGAGTGACTTTAATGAATACAGGGCCGTGAAAAAGTAGTTGCCCCCTTTCTGATTTTCTCTATTTCTGCATATTTTTGATACTGAATGTTATCAGATCTTCAACCAAAACCTAATATTAGATAAAGGGAACCTGAGTTTACAAATAACAAAAAATGTATAATTTATTTATTTAATTAACAGTTATGCAGCACCCAATTCCCCTGTGCGAAAAGTAATTGCCCCCTTACACTAAATAACCGTATTGTGCCACCTTTAGCTGCAATGACTGCAACCAAATGCTTCCTGTAGTTGTTGATCAGTCTCTCAAATCGCTGTGGAGGAATTTTGGCCCACTCTTGCATGCAGAACTGCTTTAACTCATTTGTGGGTTTTCAAGCATGAACTGCTCGTTTCAAGTCCTGCATTTAAATTGGGATTACGTCTGGACTTTGACTAGGCCATTCCAAAACTTCTAATGTGTTGCTTTTTAACCATTTTCATGTAGACTTGATTGTGTTTTTGGGTCATTGTCTTGCTGCATGACCCAGCTGCACTTCAGCTTCAGCTCACAAATGGATAGCTCCTGTAGAATTCTCTGATACAGAGCAGAATTCATGGTTCCTTCTATTAAGGCAAGTCGTCCAGGTCCTGAGGCAACAAAGCATCCCCAAACCATCACACTACCACCACCATGCTTGACTGTTGGTATGAGGTTCTTACTGTGGAATGCAGTGTTTCGTTTTTGCCTGACATAATGGGACTCATCTCGTCCAAAAAGTTGCCTCAAGTTTGCCAAAAAGCACCTGAAATCACCTGGATGATCATCAAAACTCTTGGAAGAATGTTCTATGGAAAGATGAGTTAAAAGTCTAACTTTTTTGGACGACATGGGTCCTATTAAGCCTATTAAAACACATCTGTTGCCACAAAAACATCCGCAGGTGTATCACAAATTACATGGATGTCATAGGGGGTCCCATGTAGCTCAGTTGGTAGAGGATGGGGCTTGCAACGCCAGGGTTGTGAGTTAAATTCCCATGAGAAAAAAAATAATAAACAATTGCACTCACTACTGTAAGTCTCTCTAGATAAGAGCATCTGCTAAGTGACAGAAATGTAAATAGTAATCATCTTTTTTTCTATAAAGGCCTTTATTTCTGGGTTTTTATTATGGGAACATATGGAACAGATCAGGTGACAGTGTGATATTCTCTCTTTAGGGACCAGTCATAACTGTACATCTACATACCACATCTGGCTCAATACAGGGACCTACTGAGGCAAGAACAAAGGCCTGGTATACCTTGTTACCACTCTAGCCCCTTGCTTCCCTGGCCTTAAGAACATGCAGTCCAAACTCTGCAGGGGACTGTTACATACAAATAGAGGTTGGAGAGGTTGGAGCAGGGGACTGTTACATACATATAGAGGTTGGAGAGGTTGGAGCAGGGGACTGTTACATACATATAGAGATTGGAGAGGTTGGAGCAGGGGACTGTTACATACATATAAAGGTTGGATAATTTGGAGCAGGGGGCTGTGACATACATATTGAGGTTAGAGCAGGGGACTGTTACATACACATAGAGGTTGGAAAGGTTGGAGCAGGGGACTGTTACATACATATAGAGGTTGGAGCAGGGGACTGTGACATACATATATACGTTGGAGCAGGGGATTGTTACATACATATAGAGATTAGAGCAGGGGACTGTTACATACATATAGAGGTTGGAGCAGGGGACTGTTACATACATACAGAGGTTGGAGCAGGGGACTGTTACATACATATAGAGGTTAGAGCAGGGGACTGTTACACACATATGGAGTTTGGAGCAGGGGACTGTTACATACACATATAGGTTGGAGCAGGGGAATGTTACATACATATGGAGTTTGGAGCAGGGGACAGTTACATAAGCATACAGGTTGGAGCAGAGGACTGTTACATACATTTAGAGGTTGGAGAGGTTGGAGCAGGGGAATGTTACATACATATAGAGTTTGGAGAAGAGGACTGTTACATACATATAGAGGTTGGAAAGGTAGGAGCAAGGGACAGTTACATACATATAGAGGTTAGAGCAGGGGACTGTTACATACATATAGAGGTTGGAGCAGGGGACTGTTACATAGATATAGAGGTTGGAGCAGGGGACTATTATATACAGTACATATAGAGGTTGGAGCAGGGGCTGTGACATACATATAGAGGTTGGAGCAGGGGACTGTTACATACATATAGATGTTGCAGAAGGGGACTGTTACATAGATATAGAGGTTGGAGCAGGGGACTATTATATACAGTACATATAGAGGTTGGAGCAGGGGGCTGTGACATACATATAGAGGTTGGAGCAGGGGACTGTTACATACATATAGAGGTTGGAAAGGTTGGAGCAGGGGACTGTTACATACATATTGAGATTAGAGCAGGGGACTGTTACATACATCTAGAGGTTGGAGCAGGGGACTGTTACATACATACAGAGGTTGAAGCAGGGGACTGTTACATACATATAGAGGTTGGAAAGGTTGGAGCAGGGGACTGTTACATACATATAGATGTTAGAGCAGGGGACTGTTACATACATATAGATGTTGGAGCAGGGGACTATTATATACAGTACATATATAGGTTGGAGCAGGGGACTGTTACATACATACAGAGGTTGGAGCAGGGGACTGTTACATACATATGGAGGTTGGAGCAGGGGACTGTTACATACATATAGATGTTTGAAAGGTTGGAGCAGGGCACTGTTACATACATATAGAGGTTAGAGCAGGGGACTGTTACATACATATAGATGTTGGAGCAGGGGACTGTTACATACATATAGAGGTTTGAAAGGTTGGAGCAGGGGAATGTTACATACATATAGAGATTAGAGCAGGGGACTGTTACATACATATAGAGGTTGGAGCAGGGGACTGTTACATAGATATAGAGGTTGGAGCAGGGGACTGTTACATACATATAGAGGTTGGAAAGGTTGGAGCAGGGGACTGTTACATACATATGGAGGTTGGAACAGGGGACTGTTACATACATACAGAGGTTGGAGCAGGGGACAGTTACATACGCATAGAGGTTGGAGCAGAGGACTTTTACATACATTTAGAGGTTGGAGAGGTTGGAGCAGGGGAATGTTACATAAATATAGAGGTTGGAGAATTTGGAGCGGGGGCTGTGACATACATATAGAGGTTGGAGCAGGGGACTGTTACATACACATAGAGGTTGGAGAGGTTGGAGCAGGTGAATGTTACATACATATAGAGTTTGGAGCAGGCGACAGTTACATACGCATAGAGTTGGAGCAGAGGACTGTTACATACATTTAGAGGTTGGAGAGGTTGGAGCAGGGGAATGTTACATACTTATAGAGTTTGGAGAAGAGGACTGTTACATACATATAGAGGTTGGAAAGGTTGGAGCAGGGGACTGTTACATACATATAGATGTTGGAGCAGGGGACTATTATATACAGTACATATAGAGGTTGGAGCAGGGGGCTGTGACATACATAAAGAGGTTGGAGCAGGGTACTGTTACATACATATAGAGGTTGGAAAGGTTGGAGGTGGGGACTGTTACATACATATTGAGATTAGAGCAGGGGACTGTTACATACATATAGAGGTTGGAGCAGGGGACTGTTACATACATACAGAGGTTGGAACAGGGGACTGTTACATACATATATAGGTTGGAGCAGGGGACTGTTACATACATATAGAGGTTAGAGCAGGGGACTGTTACATACATATAGATGTTGGAGCAGGGGACTATTATATACAGTACATATAGAGGTTGGAGCAGGGGACTGTTACATACATACAGAGGTTGGAGCAGGGGACTGTTACATTCATATGGAGGTTGGAGCAGGGGACTGTTACATACATATAGAGGTTTGAAAGGTTGGAGCAAGGGACTGTTACATACATATAGAGGTTAGAGCAGGGGACTGTTACATACATATAGATGTTGGAGCAGGGGACTGTTACATACATATAGAGGTTTGAAAGGTTGGAGCAGGGGACTGTTACATACATATAGAGATTAGAGCAGGGGACTGTTACATACATATAGAGGTTGGAGCAGGGGACTGTTACATAGATATAGAGGTTGGAGCAGGGGACTGTTACATACATATAGAGGTTGGAAAGGTTGGAGCAGGGGACTGTTACATACATATGGAGGTTCTAGCAGGGGAATGTTACATACATATAGAGGTTGGACCAGGGGGCTGTTACATACAGTCCATATAGAGGTTGGAGCAAGGGAATGTTACATACAATAGAGGTGAAGAGGTTGGAGCAGGGTACTGTTACATACATACAGAGGTTGGAGCAGAGGGCTGTTACATACACATTGAGGTTGGAGCAGGGGACTGTTACATACATAGAGAGGTTGGAGCAGAGGGCTGCTACATACATACAGAGGTTGGAGCAGGGGACTGTTACATACAGTGGGGAAAAAAGTATTTAGTAAGCCACCAATTGTGCTTGTTCTCCCACTTAAAAAGATGAGAGAGGCCTGTAATTTTCATCATAGGTACACGTCAACTATGACAGACAAAATGAGAAAAAAATTCCAGAAAATCACATTGTAGGATTTTTTATGAATTTATTTGCAAATTATGGTGGAAAATAAGTATTTGGTCAATAACAAAAGTTTCTCAATACTTTGTTATATACCCTTTGTTGGCAATGACACAGGTCAAACGTTTTCTGTAAGTCTTCACAAGGTTTTCACACACTGTTGCTGGCCCAATTTTGGCCCATTCCTCCATGCAGATCTCCTCTAGAGCAGTGATGTTTTGGGGCTGTCGCTGGGCAACACGGACTTTCAACTCCCTCCAAAGATTTTCTATGGGGTTGAGATCTGGAGACTGGCTAGGCCACTCCAGGAGCTTGAAATGCTTCTTACGAAGCCACTCCTTCGTTGCCCGGGCGGTGTGTTTGGGATCATTGTCATGCTGAAAGACCCAGCCACGTTTCATCTTGAATGCCCTTGCTGATGGAAGGAGATTTTCACTCAAAATCTCACGATACATGGCCCCATTCATTCTTTCCTTTACACGGATCAGTCGTCCTGGTCCCTTTGCAGAAAAACAGCCCCAAGGCATGATGTTTCCACCCCCATGATTCACAGTAGGTATGGTGTTCTTTGGATGCAACTCAGCATTCTTTGTCCTCCAAACACGACGAGTTGAGTTTTTACCAAAAAGTTCTATTTTGGTTTCATCTGACCATATGACATTCTCCCAATCCTCTTCTGGATCATCCAAATGCACTCTAGCAAACTTCAGACGGGCCTGGACATGTACTGGCTTAAGCAGGGGGACACGTCTGGCACAGCAGGATTTTAGTCCCTGGCGGCGTAGTGTGTTACTGATGGTAGGCTTTGTTACTTTGGTCCCAGCTCTCTGCAGGTCATTCATTAGGTCCCCCCGTGTGGTTCTGGGATTTTTGCTCACCGTTCTTGTGATCATTTTGACCCCACGGGGTGAGATCTTGCGTGGAGCCTCAGATCGAGGGAGATTATCAGTGGTCTTGTATGTCTTCCATTTCCTAATAATTGCTCCCACAGTTGATTTCTTCAAACCAATCTGCTTACCTATTGCAGATTCAGTCTTCCCAGCCTGTTGCAGGTCTACAATTTTGTTTCTGGTGTCCTTTGACAGCTCTTTGGTCTTGGCCATAGTGGAGTTTGGAGTGTGACTGTTTGAGGTTGTGGACAGGTGTCTTTTATACTGATAACAAGTTCAAACAGGTGCCATTAATACAGGTAACGAGTGGAGGACAGAGGAGCCTCTTAAAGAAGAAGTTACAGGTCTGTGAGAGCCAGAAATCTTGCTTGTTTGTAGGTGACCAAATACTTATTTTCCACCATAATTTGCAAATAAATTCATAAAAAATCCTACAATGTGATTTTCTGGATTTTGTTTTCAAAATTTGTCTGTCATAGTTGACGTGTACCTATGATAAAAATTACAGGCCTCTCTCATCTTTTTAAGTGGGAGAACTTGCACAATTGGTGGCTGACTAAATACTTTTTTTTCCCCACTGTACATATATAGGTTGGAGCAGGGGACTGTTACATACATAGAGATGTTGGAGTGGGGGACTGTTCCATACATATAGAGGATGGAGCAATGAACTGTTACATACAGTACATAGAGAGGTTGGAGCAGGGGACTGTTACATACATAAAGATGTTGTAGGAGGGGACTGTTAAATACATATAGAGGTTGGAGCAGGGGGCTGTTACATACATATAGAGGTTGGAGAGGTTGGAGCAGGGGGCTGTTACATACATATATAGGTTGGAGCAGGGGACTGTTACATACATAGAGATGTTGGAATGGGAGACTGTTCCATACATATAGAGGATGGAGCAATGAACTGTTACATACAGTACATAAAGAGGTTGGAGCAGGGGACTATTACATACATAAAGATGTAGGAGGAGGGGACTGTTAAATACATATAGAGGTTGGAGCAGGGGGCTGTTACATACATATAGAGGTTGGAGAGGTTGGAGCAGGGGGTTGTTACATACATATATAGGTTGGAGCAGGGGACTGTTACATACATATATAGGTTGGAGCAGGGGACTGTTACATACATATATAGGTTGGAGCAGGGGACTGTTACATACATAGAGATGTTGGAGTGGGGGACTGTTCCATACATATAGAGGATGGAGCAATGAACTGTTACATACAGTACATAGAGAGGTTGGAGCAGGGGACTGTTACATACATATAGAGGTTGAAGCAGGGGACTGTTACATACATATAGAGGTTGGAGCAGGGGAATGTTACATACATACAGAGGTTGAACCAGGTGGCTGTTACATACATATAGAGCTCGGAGAGGTTGGAGCAGGGGGCTGTTACACACATATAGAGGTTGGAGCAGGGGACTGTTACATACACATAGAGGTTGGAGCAGGGGACTGTTACATTCAGTACATAGAGAGGTTGGAGCAGGGGACTGTTACATACATACAGATGTTGGAGGAGGGGACTATTAAATACATATAGAGGTTGGAGCAGATGACTGTTACATACATATGGAGGTTGGAGCAGGGGGCTGTTACATACATATAGAGGTTGGAGCTGGGGACTGTTACATTCAGTACATATAGAGGTTGGAGCAGGGGACTGTTACATACAAATAGAGGTTGGAGTCGTTGGATCAGGGGACTGTTAAATACATATAGATGTTTGGGAGATTGGAGCAGGGGACTGTTACATAAATATAGAGATTGGAGAGGTTGGATCAGGGGAATTTTACATAAATATAGAGGTTGGAGATGTTGGAGCAGGGGACTGTTACATAGATATAGAGGTTGGAGCAGGGGACTGTTACATATGTATAGAGGTTGGAGCAGGGGACTCTTACATACATATAAAGGTTGGAGCAGGGGTTTGTTACATACTTACAGAAGTTGCATTAAGGGAATCTTACATACAGTGGGGGAAAAAAGTATTTAGTCAGCCACCAATTGTTCAAGTTCTCCCACTTAAAAAGATGAGAGAGGCCTTTAATTTTCATCATAGGTACATGTCAACTATGACAGACAAAATGAGAAAATGTTTTCCAGAAAATTATATTGTAGGATTTTTAATGAATTTATTTGCAAATTATGGTGGAAAATAAGTATTTGGTCAATAACAAAAGTTTCTCAATACTTTGTTATATACCCTTTGTTGGCAATGACACAGGTCAAACGTTTTCTGTAAGTCTTCACAAGGTTTTCACACACTTTTGCTGGTATTTTGGCCCATTCCTCCATGCAGATCTCCTCTAGAGAAGTAATGTTTTGGGGCTGTTGCTGGGCAACACGGACTTTCAACTCCCTCCAAAGATTTTCTATGGGGTTGAGATCTGGAGACTGGCTAGGCCACTACAGGACCTTGAAATGCTTCTTACGAAGCCACTCCTTCGTTGCCCGGGCGGTGTGTTTGGGATCATTGTCATGCTGAAAGACCCAGCCACGTTTCATCTTCAATGTCCTTGCTGATGGAAGGAGGTTTTCACTCAAAATCTCACGATATATGGCCCCATTCATTCTTTCCTTTACACGGATCAGTCGTCCTGGTCCCTTTGCAGAACAACAGCCCCAAAGCATGATGTTTCCACCCCCATGCTTCACAGTAGGTATGGTGTTCTTTGGAGGCAACTCAGCATTCTTTGTCCTCCAAACACGACGAGTTGAGTTTTTACCAAAAAATTATATTTTGGTTTCATCTGACCATATGACATTCTCCCAATCCTCTTCTGGATCATCCAAATGCACTCTAGCAAACTTCAGACGGGCCTGGACATGTACTGGCTTAAGCAGGGGGACACGTCTTGCACTGCAGGATTTGAGTCCCTGGCGGCGTAGTGTGTTACTGATGGTAGGCTTTGTTACTTTGGTCCCAGCTCTCTGCAGGTCATTCACTAGGTCCCCCCGTGTGGTTCTGGGATTTTTGCTCACCATTCTTGTGATCATTTTGACCCCACGGGGTGAGATCTTGCGTGGAGCCCCAGATCGAGGGAGATTATCAGTGGTCTTGTATGTCTTCCATTTCCTAATAATTGCTCCCACAGTTGATTTCTTCAAACCAAGCTGCTTACCTATTGCAGATTCAGTCTTCCCAGCCTGGTGCAGGTCTACAATTTTGTTTCTGGTGTCCTTTGACAGCTCTTTGGTCTTGGTCATAGTGGAGTTTGAAGTGTGTTTGAGGTTGTGGACAGGTGTCTTTTATACTGATAACAAGTTCAAACAGGTGCCATTAATACAGGTAACGAGTGGAGGACAGAGGAGCCTCTTAAAGAATAAGTTACAGGTCTGTGAGAGCCAGAATTATTGCTTGTTTGTAGGTGACCAAATACTTATTTTCCACTATAATTTGCAAATAAATTCATTACAAATCCTACAATGTGATTTTTTGATTTTTTTTTCTCAATTTGTCTGTCATAGTTGACGTGTACCTATGATGAAATTACAGTCCTCTCTCATCTTTTTAAGTGGGAGAACTTGCACAATTGGTGGCTGACTAAATACTTTTTTTCCCCACTGTACGTATAGAGGTTGCAGCAGGGGACTGTTACATACATATAGAGGTTGCAGCAGGGGACTGTTACATACATATAGAGTTTGGAGCAGGGGACTGTTAAATACAGAACATATAGGGGTCGGAGCAGGGGACTGTTACATAGAGGCTGGAGAGGTTGGACCAAGTGGGCTGCCACACCCGGCACCCGTGGAGCAGTTGTTGTGGGGGGTTTAGTGCCTTGCTCAAGTGCACAACTCCAGGCAATGGCATCTAGGATTTGATACCAGCAACACTCCAGATGCGAGTTTACTTCCCCCCAGATTGTTTCCCTTCAGTCCCGGGTTGAACTGGCAACCCTCCAGTTGCTGGCTGGCCTCTCTAACTGCTAAGCTACCTGCCACCCATTGCTGTCTTGTCACACTAACACTTCTTGCACAGTGGGACTAAAACCCTACCTTATTCTCTCACACATTCAAACATATATTATTGCAGTGTGGACATTCCGACTATAGCCGTACAGGAAGAGTCCTGTCAGTCTCCTCTCTCGCCTCTCTAAACCCTCTATTTATGGCTGCTTCTCAAATGGCACCCTAAATAGTGCATTACATTTGACCAGGGCCCTTAGGGCACTATCCTATACAAGGAATAAGGTGCCATTCAGGGTGTCTGTGTTTCGGGGAGCTGAGAGAAGAGCTACAGTAGAGGATCAAACTGAATGGTTTATGAACTGGAATACTTACTCCACACCTCCTATCAGGTGAAGGTCATACCATTGGTCCTACAAAATGCAACATAAGAAGGTAATAAATTAGCAGTGTCAGGGTGGTACAAATAAGCAATTACGTTCGAATCAAAACCAAAAACCCAAATATGTGTGTGTCTCGTGTGGTCAATGTCTATGTGTGTGTGTGTGTGTGTGTGTGTGTGTTTATGTCTGTCTGTTTCTGATACAAGTCTGTAGGAGGATCTGTTACTACACTCCTCCTTTTCAAACACTACTCCTTTTCACACTTTTCTATTGTGGACATAAATAGGCAAACAACATGTGGATCTTTGATGTCCCAGGTTGTAGACAGGCGGCAGATTGAGCATTAATCACAGAAGTGGCTGCCCATAAGCACCCCTTCTCACAAATCAAATCAAAACATGGACACTCACACACACACACACACACACACACATGCATTCACACACTCAACCTACTTCCATAACAAGATTTGCCGATTCGCCCGGCCAGCCATGCGTTAAATGAGTTAAATATCACTGGAGATGGGTTTGGTGGATTGCATCACTTCCGGGTCAGCTGAGCTAGAGAAACACCTCTGGTGGCTCGATGTTTTCACACTCCAGGAAGTAAAATCGGTCACACCCTGACTGGAGATGGCTCCGTTAGTGAGATCATGGAGAATCTATCCGTTCAGATCCATCTCCTATTTATCTGTTTAAAGAAAATGACCGGTGTTAATGAGGGGCGACAGCAACACACTCACGCCACCACATTGTCTCACTCTCTCTGTAGTGCATGGAATAAACGTCCCATTGAAGAAGTACTCCTGTAGGAGCGGACAGAAGTGTTCTTATAAGAACATTACATTACCACATACCCTCATTTGTTGGGCTGTGAACAACCCTAACCACAACCCTAACCCTAGCTTTATGTCCACATCCCGGTTCAACCCTAGCCTTCACCCTAACCCTAATCCTAACCCTCAACCTTAAACCTAACCTTTGATACAGCTGTTTGTCTGGATGCTGTGTCATTCTCATTCCAGTCTTATTATAACTGTATCCCCCCCCCCCTCCCCCCAGACACCTATGGGTTTATGTGGTACCTGTTGTAATCAAGGTCTGCATATTTGAGGTTGTATATTGATCTGAGCCTGAGCACCTAATTACACAATCACACAGACAATTGATCCAGAGGAGGGGCTGATGCTTATCACATCAAGTTAAAGACTAAAATGTTTAGAGGTGGAGAGGTGGAGAGAAAAGGAGAGAGAGAGAGAGAGAGAGAGAGAGAGAGAGAGAGAGAGAGAGAGAGAGAGAGAGAGAGAAGAGAGAGAGAGAGAGAGAGAGAGAGGGGAGAGAGAGGGGGATGTATTTTTGACTAGTCAGTGGGAGGAGGTGACATCATATTCTCATTACAAAAATAATCTCCAAACAGCTATTTACCCTCCTCCTTTTCTTCTTAATCTAACATGTATCATGTTACCATGGACTTTGTTGCTAGTGAACACCAACATATTGTTTTCTTGGCCTGAGGTTTTCTTCTCCTGATTTGCCTTTATTTTGATAGATGCGCTGCACTTATAAAGACATAAATGTGTCTCAATGGCAGTACTATTCCAACCTAATGTGTCCTTCTGGACAGAGTGTCTCAATGGCAGTACTATTCCAACCTATGTGTCCTTCTGGACAGAGTGTCTCAATGGCAGTACTATTCCAACCTAATGTGTCCTTCTGGACAGAGTGTCTCAATGGCAGTACTATTCCAACCTAATGTGTCCTTCTGGACAGAGTGTCTCAATGGCAGTACTATTCCAACCTAATGTGTCCTTCTGGACAGAGTGTCTCAACGGCAGTACTATTCCAACCTAATGTGTCCTTCTGGACAGAGTGTCTCAAGGCAGTACTGTTCCAACCTAATGTGTCCTTCTGACAGAGTGTCTCAATGGCAGTACTATTCCAACCTAATGTGTCCTTCTGGACGGAGTGTCTCAATGGCAGTACTATTCCACCTAATATGTCCTTCTGGACAGTGATGATGTTGATGTGCGTGTGTTTCTTTTGGCTCCAGTTAATTATATTAAATGGATTAGTACAGCAGACTCTCAAGTCCTAGGCTAGCATATACTGTACCTGACAGAGAGCTCATCTGAATGAGAGTGAGAGAGAAAGAGAGAAGAGACAAGAGGATGGGGGGGGGGGGGGGTAGAATAGCAGTGATTAAGGCCAGAGATTATATTAGAGACATTCTAACCACTGAGTGTGCCTCACCGCCAGGAAAACCACAGCTCATCACTGACAGAGAACAACAACACCGTAATTTCCTCTCCACCAGGAAACACATGGGGAACAGTCTTATGGAATGGAAATGTAAGATATATGTAAGACAATCTCTCAGGTTAATGTGTTTCAAATGATATTCTCCTGCTCCTTACCGACTGAATGTAACCCTCGTCTCCTATCCTTCTATCTGCCAGACCTAAACCTGCTTAGCTTCAGATTCAGTGGAAAGCCAGAGGGACACACACACACACACACACACGCATACACACACAGAGACACACAGACCATGACCACATCTCAATTACCTTTATGCAACATATTCTCCCTCAGGTCTTTCTTCTGACAGATCCATCCAGAACG